TTCCTACACTGCAAAAAAGGAACCCTTACAACAAACACATTCTTGTCGAATTTTTTTTAACAGTTTTCTTGGGATATAATTCACATACCACACAATTCATTTGTTTAAATTCAATGGCTTTTAGCCTCAGGATTTTTGCAGGACTCCATGATATTGAACATACAGATTGTCACCACTATTAATAATTTTTTGATCATAATTGACATTCTTTTCTTAGGCTATATTCTTAGAACCTCTTAAATGTTTCAGAAATAGGCCTTGTGGAGATAGGAGGTGTTCTTCTGAGGATTTATCATTTTTGTGCGTCTTGGTTTTGGTTTGGTTTTTTGGAGGGTGTTCGGATAGAATTTGGAGTCATAGGAGAAGTTGGTATAAAATTGTTGGGCTGTTTGACTCATGATGCCTTCTTTCACTCTCTCCTATATAATCTGAATTATACTCACCGTCAAATCCACACACACAGAGCAATTAAGGGAAGTTGATTCTGGTTCATTGAATAACCCTGTCCTCACACACACACACACACACACACACACACACACACGCCTGCAGAGCCACCTTGAGATTTATTCCTTCAGTGAGGGTTGCAAGCTACCATCTCTAATTGCCCATCTTTTATATATATATATTGATTTCAGAGAGGAAGGGAGAGAGAGACAGAAACATCAATGATGAGAGACAATTATTCATCAGCTGCCTCCTGCACACTCCCTACTGGGGATCGAGCCAGCACCCTGGGCATGTGCCCTGACCGGGAATCGAACCATGATCTCCTGGTTCATAGGTCGATGCTCAACCACTGAAGTTCACGCCGGCTGGGCTAATTGCCCATCTTAATTCACACCAGGCACACTGGTGGAGGGCTGATAAGGAGAGGTGGTGCGTCTCCGCCAATCCCATGGGGTGACCATCCTACCTACCCACAAACCATACAAACATGTTCCATTGGGCCGTGGGAGGACTGACTGCAGGTTTCAGGGCTGAGGTCGGGACGTGTTAGGCCAATCCAGGAGCGAGTTGCACCAGAGTGGTGTGTGGGTGAACCCTCGGGCATGGCTGCAGGTGTGGAGGTTACGTGACGTGAGATGGTGTGGGGTGTGGGTTCGGTGGTGAGGATGAGAGGACGGTGCAGGGAGGGTGGATGGAGTCAGAGGTAGGCGAGGGTGGAGGCCAGGAATGGGGCCCCAGTTGGGGGTGGACCTGGTGGTTAGACCAGTGGTTTGCAACCATTTTTAGGTCATGGCCTCCTTTGAGAATCTCATGGATGCTAAGGAAAGAATCTCAGGGCACAAGAATAAAATTTTGCACATAGGGTTGGCGGTTTCTGGAACCCAGAAAGTTCATACAAGGATTCCAGATGAAAGGCTGTTGAGCCTCAAAAGGAAGGTGGGGGAGGGTGGGTGGGAGGAGATCAACCAAAGAACTTGTATGCATATATACATAACCCATGGACACAGACAGTAGGGTGGTGAAAGCCTTGGGTGGGGGTGGGGGTGGGGGCTGGAAGGGGTCAGTGCGGGGTGGGGGGGAAAGGGGACATATGTAATGCTTTCAACAGTAAAGATTAAAAAAAGAAGAACTGGTCTTGACTAGCTTGCAAGAACTTGTCAGGAAGAAACCCTAGGGCTGTGTTAAGAGATTGAGAATGGCCCTGGCTTGGCAGCTCAGTTGATTAGAACATCGTCCTGATACGCCAAAGGTTTCGGGTACGATCCCTGGTCAGGGCACAAGAATCAACCAATGGATGCATAGATAAGTGAAATAACAAATGTCTCTCTCTCTCTCTCTCTCTCAAAATAAGTAAATACATATTTAAAAAGCGATTGAGAATGTTTGTGTCTTCTTGTGTGACAGATTTTCAGAGGTTTGCAGGTTGGGGGATTAAATTCCAAAGTCCACTTATTTCACAAATGCTCAATTTTCTTCCTGTTTTTATTTTAAAAACGGTCAAATCTGCCGAAATATCGCAGGCTCCTGTGGTCCAACCGAATCCTCCGATGGCCAACATGGCTCCTGGTTGCTCCCCGCTCCCCGTGCACGCTTGTGCGGCAGGAACCCATGTGTTTACGGAGAACCATTGGCGGGGAAGCTGCAGATCCCATGGCACTTCTCCCTAAACACCTGGCACGGAACTTCTCAGATCAAGAGTTTCTCCTGCATAACCCCAGTATATTCCTCACCCTGGCAACATGGAACAATACTGTTACGTAACCTATATCCCCTATTCACATTTCCCCAGCAGCCCCAGTAGTGTTCCTTTAGCTTTTCCTTCCTTTCCTTCCCCCTCCCTCCTTTCCTTCCTGCCTTTTCAAATCCGGGATCCAATCCAGATAGATAGCATCATTGTTATATCTCGCAGGCTCCTTTAATCAAGGACACTACTCCAGACTTTTGTTTTGTTTTCTTTTGTGATATTGAAAAACAAAATTTTTTTTTTAAATCCTCACCCGAGGATATTTTTTCCCCATTGATTTTTCAGACAGGGTGGAAGGGAGGGAAGTGGGGAGGGGGAGGAGGGAGAGAAAAACATTGATGTGAGAGAGACACATCGATTGGTTGCCTCCCGCACGCACACCCTGGGGCTAGGGATTGAGCCTGCAACCGAGGTACATGCCCTGGGCCAGGAATTGAACCCAAGACCCTTCAGTCCATGGGCTGATGCTCCAACCACTGAGCCAAACTGGCCAGGGCGTGACATTGACATGTTTGAAGAGTTCAGGCTAGCTGTTGGGTAGCGTGTCCCCCAGTTTGAATTTGTCTGATTGTGTCCTTGTGATTAGATTCAAGTTGGGCATTTCTGGCAGATGCCATGTCCCTTCTTGGTGCATCATGTCAGAGGGCCAGTTGATTCCTTACTGAAGGTAAGTTTGATTCATGGTTAAGGTGATGAGCTCTGGGTTCCCCTTTGGAATTAATAAGTGAGCTGTGGGGTTACACTGTGTTCATTGAAAGCCTCCAATTGTGGCAAATGCTGGGTGAGTCAGGGGTGAGCAGACAGAGTCCTTGCTCTCACGTTGTTTTTACAGTGAAGAAGGCAGACAGTAAGTTAGGAAACAAATAAAAAAATTACAAAATATGCCTGCTAGACAGTGCTCTAAGTGTCTTACATGGTTTACCTTGCCTCATTCTCCCCATCGACCTGTGAAGTAGGTGCCGTTATTGTTTTTATGCTGTAAAATCTGCAGCCCAGAGAAGTTAAGTTATTGGCCCAAGGTCACGCAGCTTGTGAGTAGCAGAGCTGGGGTCACGCAGCTTGTGAGTAGCAGAGCTGGGGTTCAAACCTGGGTGGCTCTGACTCCACAGTTTCTGCGCTGAACCATATGAAGAAAGAGAAAGCAGGGTTTCACCTAGCAACAGGCTGTGAACAGGGGACTGGAGTCAGAGCAACCTGGGCTGAGCGAGGACCTTCTCTGATAAAGGGTGTGAGTTACGAACACAACACAAAAGGAAGGCCCAGAAGATGGAAGAGAGAAGAGTGCGGAGGGCCAGGAGACAGCGTGCTGCTGTAGGCCCAAGCTGGGTTGGCCACCCCGCCCTACGTCCATGCCAGCCCCCAGCCCAGTGGTTCTCAACCTTCCTAATGCCCCGACCCTTTAATACAGCTCCTCATGTGGTGGTGACCCCCGATTTCATTGTTACAAATTGAACATCATGAAAGCATAGTGATTCATCACAAAAACAATATGTAATTATATGTGTGTTTTCCGATGGTCTTAGGCGACCCCTGTGAAAGGGTCATTGGGCCCCCAAAGGGGTCGCGACCCACAGGGTGAGTCCTGCCGGGAGTGCCTAGCGGCCTTTCCCTGCAGGCAGGACTCCCACAATCCTCCCGCTCTCCCTCCTCCCAAACAAACCCGGAGGAATCTACCTGGTCTCTAAGTGTCCCCCACAAATTGCTTTTATTTTTCAATTTTATTTCCCCCCACACATCGCTTTTAAAAAAGATCTATTACACCGATTGGGCTGCCATTGGTCAACATGAGCCTGTGGGTTTCAGGTGTGGGTTTCTGCGTTCCAAAATCTGTCTATTGCACCGGGTGCCCATCCCCAGAGTCAAATCTCCTCCCGTCACCTTCTATTTATTCGGACCCCCTTCTCTCCCCACGCCCACAACTGGCTTTTTCATGACAAAGGGAAAAACAGGAACTTCACAGCGAGCAGCTCCCCACCCCACCCCCACTCCCGCTGAAGCAAGGGGCCGATGTGAACATTCAGGGGCCGAGGCAAGGGTCGGAAGGAAGAGCGGGGCCGCGGGGAGGCTCCGCTGCGGGGGGAAGGGGAGCCTTGGGATGGACCAGTCTCCGTAGGGGACGGGGCGGGCCCCGTGGGGAAGGGGGGGTGTCCCGGGGAGGGATGGGCACCTCTTGAAGTGGGGGAGTCCCGAGAGCGCCTCATTGGAGAGGACTTGATGGGAACCGGTTGGGGGACAGGAGGTCGGGTGGGCCAACTCCGCAAGCACAGCGGGTGGAGGGCTGGCGGCAGGGATCCCCAAAGGGTGCACGAGGGGTGAGCTGTGAACCCGCAGTCCCGAGGGCGGGGAGGCGCCCGGGGAGCGGGTCTGGGCGGGGCGCCGAGGGCGGGGCGGCGGTCCCCCCGCGCGGCAGGGGGCGCTGTGAGCCGGGCGGCGCCGGGCCGGGCGGCGGCCGCTCCTAGAGAGAGCGGCCCCTTTTCCGGGTTTCCTCCTCCTCCTCCTCTTTCTCCTCCTCCTCCGCCTCCTCCTCCTCCTCCTCCTTCGCCGCGGCTGCCCCTTTCCCGGCCGGCGGCCGCCGCTGCTGGTGCCGCCGTCGCCGCCGCGGGCCGCGAGCCGAGCAGAGGCCGCCGCGCCGCGCGAGAGCCGCCCGCCCGCCGCCCCGCCGGCCGCTCCCGGGCCCGGCCGCCCGGCCGGCGCCCCCCGCGCCCCCCGCCGCCCCCGCGGGCCCGGCCTGGCGTGGCCGCCCGCCGCCGCGCTCCTCCTCCTCCTCCGGCCCGCGGCCCGCCGCCTGCTCCGCCCGCCGCCCCGCGCCCCGCGCCCCGCCGCCCGCGGCGCCCCGCGGCGCCCCCCGGTCCCGCCCGCCATGCCCGGCCCGGCCGCGGGCAGCAGGGCCCGGGTCTACGCCGAGGTGAACAGCCTGAGGAGCCGCGACTACTGGGACTACGAGGCTCACGTCCCGAGCTGGGGGTAAAGCCGCCGCCCCCCGCCCGCCCCCCGCGCCCCCCGGCTGGGCCCGCGCGTCCCGGCCCGCGGGGGGGTGGGGGGCCGCGCCCGGCCCCGTCGCGCTCGCCCCTTCTCCGCCCCCCCCGCTCCCCTGAACCCCGAGGAACGCCCTCGGTGCGGGGAGAAGTGCGGGGTCCGGGGCCAGGCCTGGCGGGAGGGCGGGAGCGCCCCTTCTCCCACGTTGGGGTCGACGGGGCGGGTGGGGAGGCAACAGCTGTCCCCCCGGAGCTATGGCGGTTCTCCGCCTCAGTTTCAGTTTTTCCAAGTGAGGCTGGATGGGGCCAGATTTTAAAAAGACGCCCCGATCCTCCGAGCAGGCACGAGGCACGGAGGGTGTGAAGTGCGGGGCAGGTGCCGGGGCGCCGCGGGGAAGAGGGGGGCAGGGGGGGCCTCTCGGAGCCTCCTGGGAGCCGGGCGCCCCGCTCCCCCACCTCGATGGGCTCAGAGCAGGGCCTCTCGCCCTCCTCTCAACTTAGGAGGGAACAGTGAGGTTGGGGGCCCGGTGCGTGGTGCAGGGGCCCGGTGCGGGGTGCAGGGGGCCCGGTGCGGGGTGCAGGGAGCCCGGTGCGGGGTGCCCGGTGCGGGGTGCAGGGGCCTCCGTGTGGGGAGTGAGTGGTGGCTGGTGGACAGGCACCTCTAAGGGCTGGGAGCATGGACGTGGCTCGGTGGGGGCGTCTGGTGGGCCTGTGCTGGGTGAACCCCAAGTTCTGGCATTTATGTGTCCCTCTTGCCTTTCCCAGGAATCAAGATGATTACCAACTGGTTCGGAAACTTGGTCGGGGGAAGTATAGTGAAGTGTTTGAGGCCATTAACATCACCAACAATGAGAGAGTGGTGGTAAAAATTCTCAAGGTGAGTGTCTGACCAAGTGGCATTGCCACCCCCGTGCCCCCCCCCCCCCCACAAACGGGTCAGAAGGAGCCAGACTCCCCACCTCCCCCCCATTCTAGAGGGAGCAGTCCCAGCACTCACCGCCCATCGCTGGGATCTGATGTCCCCCCAGTTCCTTCTCCCACCCCATTTTCTTGGGAGAAAAGATGCAGGCCTGTTTCAAAGCTAAGCATGATCCGTCAGGAGCATCCTTGTTTTGAAATGTAATTCCGGCGGCCCCCCCTTCCCCCCCAGTGAAAATCCCAAAGGGGCTCCATTTGGTATAAAATAAATGCGTATTCAGGAGAAAGGGAAGCCTGATGAGGGGGATCCCACCATCCCGGGGGCTCCTTGGCTGTTCCTTACTCTTGGTGGCTGTGTTATTCCAGAAGGAAAGTTGGGAAAACTGGCAGCAGCTTCAGAGATGAGGTTTGCAGCCTAAACGGAGGGAAACGCCTCTGAGGACGATCGCTTGTTCCTCCTTTGGGGATAAAAGTTCCAGGCGGGGTGGATGGAGAGCCCGCTGCCCCGGAGGGGTCATTGTGTGTATTTTTTTTATGTTATTTTATCAGCTGGTAAAGTGAAATTGGGAGCGATAGATGAGTACGTTCATAATCGCTAACATAGTCATTGGAACAGCACAGTCTGGGCTTGGCTTAGCAGCCTAAGTTTGACCTCTTGTCATCTCTTGGATGAAGACGCGGTCTTCGTGAGCATGAAGAGTTGGCTAAATTCTTTTGGTAACTGATGGTGTCGCTTTCACTGTTTTAGAGAACGCACTGAGAAGTCATTCCTGGAATGGGTGAGGGGTCCTCCTCATTGCCAGATCACGTAGTGCGTGTGCGTGGAATTTAGTGACGTTTTGAGACTAAAGACTAGTTCACCTAAGCACTTTCACAGACACGATTTCCAGTGTGGCCGTTCTGCAGAGGCTCCGAGTAAGAATATGGGGTTAAGTTTTGTGTCTGAAGGACAGCGTCAGGGCACCTGTGTCCTTGTTTAGTGTGAGGGGGTCAGGCTTACACTCTGAAAATCACCTTTCAGAAAAGTGATGGACTCCTAGGACCCTCCCAGCATGGTGATCAGGAGTGGAAAGGAATGAGCAGTTGTCCGTGCTGTCAGCAACGGGGTGAGAGGGAGAAGAGAAGTCGATGTTTGAAGATGTGGAGTTTGCCTCCCCTCCTCCCTAAATGGGAATTGCACCTACAAAGTCACATGGCCTTTTTTTTTTTCCACAAGTACAAATATTTAAAGAAAGGTTCCTTCCCCAGAGGTCACCTGGGGAAACCATACAGTTTTCTCCTCTGTAATGAGCGTAAATGTTTTGAATGTAAGCTACTTAGAAACTTTCTAGGAAGTAAGCAAGACATAAGTTGAAATTAGGAATATCCATATTCCACTGCTGTGCATTCAGAAAGATGAATTGCTTACTTGAAAGCAAAATCCGGAAAAATGGCTAAACTTTTCTTTAATATAAATTTTATTAATTTCAGAGAGGGGGAGAGAGAGAGAGAAACATCAGTGATGAGAGCGAATCATTGATCGGCTGCCTGCTGCACACCCCCGCCTGGGGATCGAGCCGACAACCTGGGTATGTGCCTGACCGGGAATCCTGGTTCATAGGTCGACGCTCAACCACTGAGCCACTCCGGCCGGGCAATGTCTAATCTTTTGAGTGAGGGCAGCATTTTTCAAATGAGTGCAACTTCCTGCGTTTTTTGTTTTTGTTTTTGAAAGGAACAGCATTCACATGTACGCATAAGTATACGTTCATCTAGGTTACCCTTCAGTCACCCTTTTAGAGGACTTGATGGGGTCAGTGGCTGATGGTTGTCCCCTGTTGGGGGGATTTGCACTATACATTGTTTAGGGAGCCCAACATGGAAGCCGAAGCTTATTTTTACGGAGAGAAAGCGAAGCACAAAGAAGAACTCTAACATCACTATGTTGAACTGACCCTTAGCCAGGACTCTTGTTTCCTATTTCTTCCTGTCTCTTACTGCTCATTTTAGCATTCTAAGTCCCAGTGTTCTGGAATAAGACAGGAGGCCCCTTGGAGCCCTAGTTAGTGAAGTATTATTTCTTGTTTCTTCTCGATGCAAGTTCTTTTCAGGGAGCGGCAGAAACCACCTTGCTTCCTCTGGTGAAAACTTCGTTCACTTCTTTAATGTTTTTCAAAGCGCTGTGGCATTTCTATCCGGATTTTTATTTGAAGGATAGGGTGAGAAACTACTGATGGTGTTGCTGTGGTTTTCTCATTGTTCTGACAGGCTGGATTAAAGTAGACTTAAAAAAAATATTTTTTAAGAGTAGTGCATTTATCCAAAGTTGTGCTCCTCTACTCAGAGAAGTGGGAAAAAGATTTAATCCTCACCCGAGGATATTTTTCCATTGATTTTCAGAGAGCATGGAAGAGAGAAGAAAAGACAGAGAGAAATATCAGTGTGAGAGAAACACATCGATTGGTTGCCTCCTGCACGCGCCCAACCAGGGCATGGGCTGGGGAGGGGCCTGCATCCGACGTACGTGCCCTTGACCAGAATCGAACCCGGGACCTTTTGGTCCACAGGCCAACACTCTATTCACTGGACCAAACCGGCTCGGGCAAGAAGTTGAAGTTTTGACTAATAACTACTATTGTTGTGTTTGGTTATAGGGAATTAGGTCCTTAACAGAGTACCAGCTGCTCATAATTGGGAGAAATCTAGAAAAAGCTTCCTTTTCATGTAGGCCTAGTATATTTTAGCTGCAGTATATGAGAATGGCTGGATGATGAATGCCCATAGGAATTTTATATCATTTAATTTGCATCAGTAGTAGATTTCTAAGTGTTTTATTGATCTAAACAAATTGGTTATTAAGAGACTTTAGGAACTTAGAAATTGGTGAGCAGCCTTGGCCATTGTGGCTCAGTTAGTGGGACGTTGTCTGGTGCACCAAAGGGTTTCTGGTTCAATTCCCAGTCGATCAGTGTTTCACTCTCATGTCGATGTTTTTCTCTCTCCCTCTCTCTTCCTCACTCTCAAAAAAAAAAAAAAATTTGGTGAGCACAATTTTATCGTCTATCTCTATCCTGAAGTGAAATTCTGAGGCATATACACTTTTTTTTTTTTTTTTTTTTTAAGAAAGAGAGAAGCATTGATTTGTTCCACTTGTATGCATTTATTGGTTGCTTCTTGTATGTGCTCTGACTGGGGATAGAATCCACAACCTTGGTGTATCAGGATGATGCTCTAACCAACTCAGCTACCTGGCCAGGGCTGGTTATATCTTTTTTGACAGAAATTGTTTTGAGGAGAAATGGTGGTGGGAGATCGTAAGGGTTCCCATAGCAGGGCAGAAAGCCACTTTAGTGCCTGAAATTCCATCTTCTGATTCTGAAAAATCCATTTTTCACTTCCTTTGAAGTGCTTCTTAGGAAGGAGTACACAGAGTGAAAAGCATTTGTCCATTTTGGACAACTTTTAGCATTTGCGAACACCACTTGTGTGTGCATTTTAGCCCTTCTCGGGGTCCTGGGGACCCTTTAAATTGAGTGATTTCCTAATTAGGAGTTAAGAGCTGTACCGTATTTTTAAAAGCAAGACCCAGAGAGACCATGCTGTGTGCGTAGGGTCAGGTGGCCAGGAGGGGGCGCAGCTAGGCTTAGGACTCGGTTCCCCTCCTGGGAGACGGGAGGAGCACGGTTAGGACGTTTGCGGGATACTCGGCTTCTTGATGTACTGGGAGGATGGACGCACACTCACCAGAAGTCAGAGCACTTGTTGCTGGTGATTTTTGGGGTACTCTTCTGAAAGGAAATACTTGACTTTGGTGTGGATACAGATGGGGTTCTGATTTGGATCCTTAGCAGCACGTTTAATGCACAAGTGAAATGTTCCTTTACTTTCTTGGTTCGGAGCCTCCGGCCAGTGTTTGTACATTTTTAAATCCATACAGTTCCTCCAAGTCTCATGACCACTTGCCATTTTTAGTTGATGGTTTATTCCTTTAATATATTAGATTTCTTTGGAGAGTAAACCATGTGTGAAAATAGTATCTTGATATATCTCGATACCCATTTGTATGTGTACAGCATGGCTCCAGATGACTAGTCTCTAGAGCAGTGATGGCGAACCTATGACACGCATACTCATTTTTTTGGTTTTTCTTTGTTAAATGGCATTTAAATATATAAAATAAATATCAAAAATATAAGTCTTTGTTTTACTCTTGTTGCCAATATCAAACAATTTCTATATGTGACACGGCACCAGAGTTAAGTTAGGGTTTTTCAAAATGCTGACACGCCGAGCTCAAAAGGTTCGCCATCGCTGCCCTAGAGTCTACTTTTAGGATCTGCTGCCTCAAAATCAGGGTGGTATAGTGTGAGAAGTGCTAAAAAAGGAGGGCAGAAGACGGGTTCTAGAAGCAGCTTAACTTACACGCCCTTGACTTTTTTCTCATCTGTAAAATGGGTATGCCTTTCTGGTTTAACTAACAGGGTTGTTGGGAGAATCAAATGAGATATAGATAAATGGGCAGGTATGGAGGATAGTGTTTAGTAATCTACAAAGTCGTTTTCTTTCCTGACAGAGGCTTGGGAAACAAGCTGCCTGGATTCAGATGTTAATGCCAAAACGTAGAAGCTCTGTGTTCTTGAGCAGTTATTTAAACGGTGCCTCTGTGTTAAAAATACTCTTCTCAGAGGACTATTAAATGTTTGTGGAGTTTTTTTTTTAATCCTCACCCTAGGATATTTTTTCCATTGATTTTTAGAAAAAGTGGAAGGGAGTGGGAGAGACAGAGAGAGACACATCAATTGATTGCCTCCCGCATGCCCCCAACCAGGGCCGGGAGCCTGCAACCGAGGTATGTGTCCTTGACTGGAATCAAACTCAGGACCCCTCAGTCCACAGGCTGACGCTCTATAGCTAGGGCAGTCCTCTTAAATGTTGATTAAAATGTGCTTAACACAGTGCCTGGCACTTATAAAGCAATAC